TTATATGACAAAATGAAAAAAACAGTACAATTGAAAAATATATAACAAAACCCTGCCTGTGCTACTTTTAATAAGTTGGGGACACCGGTGTATAAGTATTAGAACTCAGAGATTTGTTACTGTGCTATATTTAGCCATTCTCTCTTGCTCTATTTTGGAAATATATACATTTATTTATTTATTCATATATATGTGTGTGTGTGTGTGTGTGTGTGTGTGTGTGAAGGCAAAGTGACATAGATGCAGAAAGAGAGAGAGAGAAGAGAGAGAAAGGAAGAGCAAGAGAGAGAGAGAGAGAGAGAGAGACCAAAGCCAAGAATCCAGAACTCCATCTTGGTCTGCCAGCTTCCACTGCCTGCACATTAGCAGGCAGCTAGATCAGAAGTGGAGCAGCTGGGACTTGAGCTGGCATTTTGATATGGTATCTGGTGTCCCAAGCAGTGGCTTAATGCACTGTGTCACACAACACTACATTAACAAGCCAATGTTTTATTATATATGATCTTCAAAACAGTCACATTAGAATTGTCATTATTATCTGTAATTATATGTTATTTGAAATTAGGAATGCTCCTTTTACTACAATGAACAGTCTATCTTTCTGTTTTGCTTTTTTTAAAAAAAATTTTTTTATTTTTTTATTTTTGACAGGCAGAGTGGACAGTGAGAGAGACAGACAGAGAGAAAGGTCTTCCTTTGCCGTTGGTTCACCCTCCAATGGCCACTGGGTTTCTTAATCCTTAATGGGGCATGTGCACATTGAGAATGTGAATTCTTTTGTTCGTTTGTTTTTTAATATTTATTTATTTATTTGAAAGTTAGAGTTACATAGAGAGAGAAGGAGAGGCAGAGAGAGAAAGGTCTTCCATCCACTGGTTCACTCCCCAAATGGCCGGAGTTGTGCCAATCAAGCCAGGAGCCAGGAGCCAGGAGCTTCTTCTACGTCTCCCACACAGGTGCAGGGGCCCAAGGACTTGGGCCATCTTCTACCACTTTCCAAGGCCACTGAAGTGAGCTGGATTGGAAGTGGAGCAACTGGGACTCGAACCAGCGTCCATGCAGGATGCAGCACTGCAGGAGGTGGCTTTAACCTCTATGCCACAGCGCCGGCCCCAAGAATGTGGATTCTAATAGAACCCTCTGCTCAGAATCTCTATCTCCCACTCTACCTTCACCCCTAGTAAAAAATCAGCTACTAAACCTGCTCAAACAGTGAGTGGAGTATGTAATGACGTTTAGATACACATATTGATATATTTACTCCAGTTAGAAGCAACGTATCAGAAGAAATTACAACTCTAGTATTGTACATGTAATAGTTTATTAAGATCTTTCCTTCTGGGCCACTGTAAAGTCACCACCTGTAATGCCAGAATCCCATATGGGTACTGGTTCTAGTTCCAGCTGCTCCACTTCCAATCTATCTCCCTGCTAAAGGCCTAGGAAAGGAAAAGCAGCAGAAGATGTATCAAGTTCTTGAGCCCCTGCTACTCACATAGGAGACCTAGAATAAGCTCCTGGCTCCTGGCTTTGGCTTGGCCCAATCCTGGTCATTGCAGCATCCGGGGAGTGAACAAACAGATATTCTCTCTCTCTCTCTCTCTCTCTCTCTCTCTCTCTCTCTCCCTCTCTCTCTCTCTCTCCATCTCTCTCTCTCCATCTCTCTCTCTCTCTGTGTATGTATGTGTGTGTGTCTCCTTCTCTCTGTGTAACTCTCAAATAAGCAAATAAATCTTTTATAACAAGTTTTCTTCTTCTCTACCCAAAAGTTCCAAAAGCACAAAGAGCACAATATAACATTAAAAAAGAAGAACAATTATAAGTTAAGTGATATGTAGTACATGACACTACTGAGTCAGCTCTCTTTATAGAGGGACAAAGCTACTGATGTATGTGATGGTTTTTCGAGACTAACACATATGAATATTGTCTCAGCAAACTTGACATATAATCCTACATCCCCCAAGGACTTTGTTCTCCTGTGATGCCTCCATCCTGGAAACTCTTCCTCCTTGAGCAAAATAAAACCCAGTCTTCTCCTCTGGGAAAGTGGTTCCAAGGCTTTAGCATCAGAAGCAGAGCTAGTACTCCAAGCTTGTTTCTACTTAGAATCCACTGAGAAAAGTAGAGGTAAGGCTACTTAAACTTGGATAAAAATTTAGCAGTACTTAACAATTGAAATATTTTTATGGCAAGGTTTCACTATCAAATATGGTATGTTTTTTAATTAATATGCTCTAAACAATGTATTTTCAAAGAAAACATCTGGTAAAAATGTTACTTTTCTCCATTCTTAAGGTGGAAGGGGAGGAGGCCATAATGAGCAGTGTCGTGTAAGAAAACTATGCAACACGCACAACTTGATACCTGTTCCTCTTTTATTCTTAAACTTCTATAAGAAATACATATGAAAAGAATTGCAAGGACCCTATTTAATTTCATATGATAGAAAGTCTAAGGAAGACACATGTAAAAATACATTCAAAAAACATACCTCCACATTTAACATACAAATTACTATTTCTAAGATTTTTTTCAGTGACATACATGCCAGCCCATCATTTATTTTGTCATCTTTAAATGACTAGTAGAAACAAGAAATGGAGAAAGGGAGTTAACATTTACTAAGTCTGTGCAAGGTAGACACACTCAACTCACATATAGAACTTCATTTCATGCTAAGGACAATCTGGTAAGGTGTGCGGGTGTTGTTCCCATATGAGAGTTGACCACTGCGCAGTGATAACAACACTACCACTTTATAATGATGCATCAGTCCAAAATTTTAAATGAGGAAAACAGTGTTATATAATTAATTTTCAGTGACTAAGATTGTCATTGTTCAATTTTACAATATAACACTTGATTCAGCTTTCATTCCACCTGCTTCCCCCAGGCATGTGCCAAGTATTGTTCTAAGTGTCTTACATATTAACTAATATTATCTTCCCACCAAATAATGAGATAGACACTTTTATTATTACCAACTCACTGAACCAATGAAGAAAAACAAGAGACTGGGAGATTAACATAGATGCCTAAGCTTAGAAACCAGCGAGTAACAGAAAAGGACTTTGACCCTAGACAATGCCAGTTCATGTCATTCTAATCTATTCATTCTCAAAGCCAGACATTTGAAGAGATGTGTTTTAGACCAGCCTTCAGGATCTAGCCCTGATTTAATCATTTCTTAGCTAAAGATCTTACAGAATTCATTTAGTCTCAGTAGGCTTTGCTTTCCTCTTCTCTAAAAAGAAAGGAGGCACACTTAGTGGTCAAGATAGAAATAAAAGTTTATTGGATAATCCAAGGGCAACACTAGTGTTTAAGGAGTCTTCATAATTCAATATCTTAATCTACCTATTAGAGATCACAGACTATAGTATCTAAATTATCATTCTGACTCCAGAGTGCAAGTTGGTCTTTCAATGCATATTCAATCAAATCTAAAATTCTCTTATTGGTGTACAATTTCCACCAACATGTGTTTATTCCTGCCTTCATACTCAATTTTTTTAAAACCTTTACTTAATAAATATAAATTTCAAAATTACCATTTTTGGATTATAGCAGATTTTCCTCCCATAACCTCCCTCCCACCTGCAAACATCCCATTTCCCACTCCCTCTCCCATCCCATTCTTCGTCAAGATTCATTTTCAATTATCTTTATATACAGAAGATCAACTTGGTATAAACTAAGATTTCAACAGTTTGCACCCACGCAGATACACAAAGTATAAAGTACTGTTTGAGTAGTAGTTTTTCTGTTAATTTGCATACCTCATACTCAATTTTTAAAATATAACTAGTGTCTGCTTTCTGTGTGCGCCTAACATTCTCATTTACTTGGCCTCTCTCTCTCTTCCAACTTTATATTTGTTCAATACATAACTCAAATCCAATTTTTCCCCAAGAAATTTTTTTGATAACTCTTGATGATTCTCTCAGTGTAAGCATCCTTTTTCTCTCACATAGCTTAATTCTGTGTCATTAAGAGTCTTTTATTGTGGGCTGGGCATTTGACTGAGAAGTCAAGCCACCAGTTAGGATGCCCACATCTCACAGCATTCTTTCAAGTTACAGCTCTACTCCCTATTTCAGCTTCCTGCTAATGCACACCCTGGAAAACAGCAGTGATGGCCCAAGTGGTTGGGACTCTGCCACCCACACAGGAGAGCAGAATTGAGTTCCAGGCTCCCAGCTTCAGGCAAGACTAGTCCTTGCGATTATGAGTAACTGAGGAATGAACTGACAGGTGGGGGCTCAGTATGTTTCTCTAGTTCTCAAACAGAAAATTTTTAAAAGCTGAAGATGAATTCTTTATTGTAACCTAATACATTGATTTCTGCTTATTTTTTCTCATCAACAAGATTAAAAACTAAGGCCAAAATCCCATATCAGAGTGTGTGGGTTCAATTCCTGGCACCACCACAAGTTCTAGCTTCCTGTTAATGCAGACCCTGAAGGCAACAAGTCAGTCCAGTAGTTTGTTCTCTGTCATTCAAAGGGAGATCAGAATTGAGCTTCAGACTCCTGGCTTTCAACCTGACCCAGTCCCAACAATTCCAGACAATTGGGGAGTACTTCTTCTCTCAGATAAATATAAGTATTAATATATCAATTTTAAAAAAGAAAACTAAGGCAATTTTTAAAAATTTTTTGCCTAGTTTCTTCAATAGGTTACTGTGTACATGAGTTAATTAAATAAATAAATTTGAGGAGGTCCACACTATGGCATAGTGAGTTAAGCCTCCTGTGATGCAATCCATACGGGCACCAATTCAAGTCCAGGCTGATCCACTTATTTTTTTTAACTTTTATTTAACGTTGTCATTTTTTATTGCATTTGTCAACATTTCCCATCAATATTGTGAGGCTGAGGCTGAGGCTGAGGCTAGGAAACCCTTGCACTACAGACCTGGTATCCCTGGCAAACTCCATTGCCCGCAATGGTACTGAACAGAACTACAAAAGCCAGCTGTTCTCAGCTGTTCTCACCTGGAATCTCAGTTGCTACGAAACTAACAAGCGTGAATGCGGAATACAGAGCACACATCCACAGACTCTTCACAGAAGAAATTAGTGGCCGTGGGATCTCCCACCAGAGTCAGCTGTCCACGAGCTCTGGGCGGCACCCCTTCCCCCATCTCGCACCATCGCCCACATCTTCTCAACGTCCTCACCAGCTTCTAAGGGGCGTGAACAGGGATGCGTGGAAGTCAAAACTGCTCCAATGAACTCTGGATTTTTTCCTCTGCTGCTGTGCGTCTCTGGGGACAAGGACAAGATGCAGTTCATGAAGCTCACGCACGGATGTTGTAATGACCAGACCAAGTAATAAAGCCTGCCAGCCACTCTGCCCGTGAACTTTATAGTCCACTCAGCACACGCCCTGATCCAGTCACTATCTACACTTTATTACACGTCTAAACGTGGGCGGCAACTGTGACACAGGTCCCTGTGCCATTGACCTTCTGAGAAGCAGTTTCACGTAAGCAGAGACTTGCAAACTCTTCCTCCAAGCTCCTGACTGCGCTGCGACTGGCTGCACTCTGCAATCCCTTTCCCCCAAGGCGCGCTCCCCGGCACATCTCTGGGCGGCCTGGTTTCCGGGAAGTTCTCAGCAAACCTCTCTCCTGCTTTGTCCCAGTTCTTCCTGCTCTTGTTCTGGAGAAGGGGAACCTCTTCAATGGAGGACGGCTTGCCGGTCCCCAAGCCCGCGTGAGCCTGCCGAAGCTGCAGCTGGATCGGAGCGCGCATGCCGCCGCCGTCCTTCCCCAGGCCCTCGCCTTTCTTCCAGCCCATCTTCTCCAACATCTTCCGGCCTTTGTTGCTATCTGTAATTTCAGCATAGACAGACACAGGAGCATCGTCCCTCAGGAAGGGCCCTTCACTCCCAACCTGCTCTCTGCGCTTCCCAGCTCGATCTTTGTATTTTGGATTCTTCAAGGCCTTTTCATTTTCATAATCTGTATTCTGTAAACCATATTTCACTCGTATTTTCTTTAATTATTTTCTCCTTTCCAACTCTTTTTCTTCTTTACTTAGTGCTGGAACGAAAGCTTCATGCTTCTCATCAAGGCGCAGGTGCGCTCTCACCGGCCCTGGCTCGCAGCCATCGCACGTCTCGCTGCCAGGGTGGATGTGGAAGGACAGTACTGTCTCCCCGATTCTCACCTCATGCCCATGCTCCAGCACGTGAGGGTCACACTTGGTTTTTGGCTGGAGAATCTGCTTCCCGTTGACAGTTGTGCGGTTCTGACTGCCTTGATCCACCAGGACGTAGCTTTGTACGTCGTAGTTAAAATGCACTTCCGCATGAAATTTAGTGACACCGACTTCAGGGATGCACAAGGTGTGCTCCATGTCCTTCTCTCTTCCAATCCTAGCAGGGTTCACAGCGGTGATGATAAACAGCGACCCTGTCTGCAGCACCGGGGACCTGATAACAATCACTCTAATACACGGGGGCCAGATCTCCTCCTCCTCCTCCTCCTCCTCCTCGGTGTCCACACTGCCGCCGTCCTCACCAGTGCCCTCGGTGTGAGAATCTGTAATTTCACCTTCCTCCGGCTCACTGTCGGTCTCTGGGCCTTTCCTGGCGTCACCTGCAGCGGCATTCATGGCGCTGTCACAGGGAGGGGACTCTGCCCTACATCGGGGAGGACTGGGTCTGTGATCAATGCCCGTTCTGGCCTTCTTCCTTCCATTTGCACAACTCGCCCCCTCACCGCAGCTTGCATATTCCACACTGGCAGCCTTCTGGTCTGCTGAACTCACGTCCGTTTCTTCAGTTGTTGTATAGCAATCTGGATCCTTTCTTTTCTTCTTTAATTTTTTATCCTTACTTTGTCTTGTAGTAGGAGTCTGGTAAGGTTGTAGATCCACCCGAGAATGAAACTGATAGCGACCGCTGTCCACGTCCCAGTAGTAATAGATGCCAGTGGAGGGGTCAGAGTATAGCTGATTTTCAGAGTCCTAATAGAAACCAGTGCTGTAGTCAAAGTAGAGCCCAGTGCTCTCGTCGCAGCTGAAGCCCATCTGCGAAAGGGCAGCCTCCACTGCGACTCTCAAACTTTTATTTAATAAATATAAATTTCAAAAGTACAACTTTTGGATTGTTGTAGCTTTTCCCCCAATAACCTCCCTCCCACCTACAACCCTCCCATCTCCCACTCCCTCTCCCATCACATTCACATCAAGATTCATTTTCAATTACCTTTATATACAGAAGATCAACTTAGCATATACTAAGTAAAGATTTCAACAGTTTGCACCCACACAGAAACACAAATTGTAAAGCACTGTTTGAGTACTAGTTATACCATTAATTCACATAGTACAACACATTAAGGACAGAAATCCTACATGGGGAGTAAGTGCACAGTGGCTCCCGTTGTTGATTTAACAATTAACACTCTTATTTATGACATCGTCAGTAATCACCCCCAAGGCTCTTGTCATGAGCTACCAAGGCTATGGAAGCCTCTTGCGTTCACAAACTCTGACCTTTACAGACAAGGCCATAATCAAAGAGGAAGTTCTCTCCTCCCTTCAGAGAAAGGTACCTTCTTCTTTGATGACCCGTTCTTTCCACTGGGATCTCACTCACAGAAATTTTTCATTTAGGTCTTTTTTTTGCCATAGTGTCTTGGCTTTCCATGCCTGAAATAGTCTCATGGGCTTTTTAGCCAGATCTGAATGCCTTAAGGGCTAATTCTGAGGCCAGAGTGCTGTTTAGGACATTCTATGAGTCTGCTGTGTATCTCGCTTCCCATGTTGGATCGCTCTCTCCCTTTTTGATTCTATCAGATAGTATTAGCAAACACTAGTCTTGTTTATGTGATCCCTTTGACACTTAATCCTATCATTATGATCAATTATGAACTGAAACTGATCACTTGGACTAGTGAGATGGCATTGGTAGGTGCCACCTTGATGAGATTGAATTGGAATCCCCTGGCACGTTTCTAACTCTACCATTAGGGGTATGTCCGAGTGAGCATGTGCAAACTGTACATCTCCTCCCTCTCTTTCCACTCTTATATTTAGCAGGGATCACTTTTTTTTTTTTTTTTTTTTTTTTTTTTTTGCTGATCTTTTGTAATGTTTCTTTGGATTCAATTCTGTTGAATTCTTCTCTAATTTTAATTATTTCTCTTCTCCTACTAGTTTGGGGTCTGGTTTGCTGCAGTTTTTCTAGATACTTGAGATCCATTGATAGCTCATTTGTTTGGTACCTTTCCAATTTCTTGATGTAGGCACCTATTGCTATAAACTTTTCTCTTAACACTGCTTTTGTTGTATCCTATAAATTTTGATATGTTGTGTTGATATCCTTATTTACTTCCAGAAAGTTTTTGATTTCTCTTTTGATTTCTTCTATGATCCAGTGTTCATTCAGGAGCATGTTGTTCAGTCTCAACGTGTTTGCATATGCTCTAGGGATTCCTGAGTTGCTAATTTCCAACTTCATTCCATGGTGGTCTGAGAAGATGCATGATATGATTTTGATTCTTTTGAATTTGCTGAGACTTGCTTTATGGCCTAGTATGTGGTCAGTCCTAGAGTAGGTTCCATGTACTGCTGAGAAGAATGTGTATTCTTTATGTGTAGCATGAAAAGTTCTGTAGATATGTGTTACATCCATTTAGGCTATAGTGTCAATTAAATCTGCTGTTTCCTTGTTGATCTTCTGTCTGGTTGATCTGTCTATTGCTGAAAGTAGAGTATTGAAGACCCCAATACTATTGTATTGGAGTCTAAGTCTCCTTTTAAGTTCCTTAACATATCTTTTAAATAAACCAGTGCCCTCTAATGAGATGCATATACATTTATAATAGTTACATCTTCCTATTGAATTGATCCCTTAATCATTATATAGTGCCCCTCTTTTTCTCTCTTAACAGTTTTTGTGTTAAAGTTTATTTTGCCTGATATTAAGATGGCTACACCAGCTATTTTTTGGTTTCTGTTGGTATGGAATATCGTTTTCCAACCTTTCACTTTCAGTCTGCATGCATCTTTGTTGGAAAGATGTGTTTCTTGTAAGCAGCAAATAGATGGGTTTTGTTCCTTAATCCATTCAGCCAGTCTTTGTCTTTTAACTTGAGAATTGAGGCCATTTACATTCATTGTGACTATTTATAAGCAGTGACTTTGCCCTGCCATTTTTCCAAAGATATTTCTAATATATGCTTTGAACTTCCTGTGATCTTTTACTGGGAGATTTTCTTCCTTTACCTTCTTTCATATTGATGGCCGTGTTTCTGTGTTTCTGTGTGTAACACATCTTTAAGCATCTTTTGCAGGGTGGATGAACGGTGACAAATTCTTTCAACTTCTGTTTGCTATGAAAGGTCTTTATTTCACCTTCAATCACAAATGAGAGCTTTGCAGGATATAATATTCTGGGCTGGCAGTTTTTTTCTCTTAATACTTGGGCTATATCTCACCATTCCCTCCTAGCCTGTAAGGTTTCTGATGAGAAGTCTGCTGTGAGTCTAATCGGAGATTCTCTGAGAGTAATCTGACATTTCTCTCTTGCACATTTTAGAATCCTTTCTTTATGCTTTACTGTGGTGAGTTTGATTACAATGTGTTGTGGTGAGGATCTCTTTTGGTCATGTTTATTGAGGGTTCTATGTGCTTCCTGTTCTTGGATGTCTCTGTTCTTCTCCAAACCCAGGAAGTTTTCTGCTAGTATCTCACTAAAAAGGCCTTCTAAACATTTCTCTCTCTCCATGCCTTCAGGAACTCCTAGAACCCGAATGTTGTGTTTTTTAATAGTATCCTGTAGATTCCCAACAATATTTTTTAGATTTCTAATTTCCTCTCCTTTTCTTTGGTTTGACTGTATACTTCCCTGTGCTCTGTCTTCTAAGTCTGATATTCTCTCTTCTACCTCACTGATTCTGTTTTAAGGCTCTAAAATGTGTTTTCCATTTGTTCTATTAAATTCTTCATTTCATTTAGGTTTCTCTTCAATTTTTCAATTTCATGTTCCACTAAATTCCTCATTTCGTTTTGATTCTTCCTTAAGATTTCATTTTCACGAGAGAGATTTTCTGTCCTGTATGGATTTCTGTAGCTCATGCATTTATTTTTGATAACTTCTAAATGTTCTTATCATAAATTTTTTGAAATCCATATCTTGTATTTCTTCTATCTCATCATCTTCATAATCTTGTATTGGAGTGTTATGTTCATTTGGGAGTGTCGTGATGTCTTCCTTGTTCTTGTTTCCTCAGTTTTTGCTTTTGTTGTTTGGCATTGTGGAGATATTCTTTGGTTTCTTCTTTTTTTTTCACTGTGGTGGCTTTTCTCGTTATACTATGACTCTAGATTAAGTGGACTGTCTGTTTTTGGTGAATCTCTAGTGGCTTGTAGTGGGTATGACAAGAGAGCTTTGTTCAGTTCTTCAGGGTTAAGGGTGTGCCAAAGGTGACACACCCAGGTTTGGTGTGGTAAATCTTCTCTCCCTCTCTTTTTTTTATTCAGAATAGAAGTAATTCTGCTCAGCTGAGCTCTTCTCCTCAATAGCAATCAGTGCCTGAGCGCTAGTCCCAGTGGATGTAATATTTGTTTGCTCTATCCCAACGACCACACAAAGGGTCTGTGCAGTCCTCAGTGTAAGCTCAGATTCCCCTGCAATGTCTCTCACCGGGTAGTCAAAGCTGCCCAAATTTGTGGCGTCTCCCACCAAGACCACTCACATCTCACAGGCTGCTCCACTTCTGATCCAGCTCCCTGCTAATGCACCTGGGAAAGCAGCAAAAGATGGTCCAAATGTTTAGGCCCCTACACCCTTGTGGGAAACTCAGATGAAACTCTATGCACCTGGTTTCAGCCTGCCCCAGCTTTGGCCATTGTGATCTCTCTCTCTCTCTCTCTCTCTCTCACACACACACACACACACACACACAGAGACACACAACTCTGCTTTCAAATAAATAAACCTTTAAAAATAAAATAAATTTTGACCTATTCATTTGCTTCTGATATGAACACCACACAAATACCAAATATAACAAATTATTGTTTGAAAGTTCAGTAGCAATTTCAAGATAAAATTATATATGGTTGAATTTTATGTTATTTTAATTTATGTTGCTGAATATTAGAGATTTTAAATAGGAGTATTGTGAAGACATTGTGCTTCCAAGTAAACATGTAGATAATGAACTTTTTTTTAATGAGCAATCCCTTGAACTGTTGAAGCAGTACAGAACAGGAGATGTACTTGTTGAGGCTTACAACCTCATTTAACCACAAAGTAGCTTGTTATTTGGAACAATTTACTTAGTTACCTATTTCCTTGTTGGTGAAATGTGAATAACAGAACCAACACCAGTGACTTGTGATGGGATTTAAATGAAAGAACATTAAGTGAAGCATTTCATGGCAGATGCATGTTAAATAGCCAGTACATATGCAGATGGGATATATCTTTTTTTAAATATCTATTTTATTTATTTTAAAAGTCAGAGTTACAGAGAAAGAGGGAGAGTCACAGAGGGAGAGAGAGATCTTCCATCTGCTGGTTCACTTCCCGGATGGCTGCAATAGCTAGCCCTGGGCCAGGCCCAAGTCAGGATCCAGGAGCTTCATCTGGGTCTCCCACATAGGTGGCAGGGACCAAAACACTGGAGCCATTTTCCATAGCTTTTCCCAAGCCATTAGCAGGAAGCTGGATCAGAAGTGGAGCAGCTGCAGCTTTACACACTATGCCGCAACATCTGCCCCCAAATGTATCTTGATAATGGTTAGAGTTACAAAACTTTAAGAGTTTATCAAAATTCATCAAACAATACTCTTGAATTTTACTGTGTATGAACATCTTAATAAAACTGAATTTAGTAAGAATGATATGAAAACTTGCACAAAGAGAGGTTAGGCAGCTGGAATCACTAGCAAAATCCTATCACATATTCTATCTGCTGAAGATACTAGAACTCATGAGGCTGAGCATGGGACATTAAGTATTGCTGCTGACTCTGCTTGAGCTGCCTCATTGTCAGAATAAGTTTCCAACTTTCCCTGACTCTACATCAGCCACGCCAAATTCAAAGTCCC